GCTACAATTTATTTTCTTCCTTAAAAAGTACACAATATGATATGTGGGGCTGATGTACTCCAAGGATACATCAGCCTCTTCTCTGGTCCCAGCAGCAAACAGCTAATGCTGTCCAGCTCCCGCTCTGAAGATCAGAGCCACTCTGGTGTTTCCACAGGCCAAGGACACTCAGCCTTGTCCCGAGCTGGAACCAGAGAGGAGTTCTATTTCTTTTCAAAGTGTGTTTATAAAAGAAGTTATGTAAACAGTTCAGTTAATATGGAACCTAATAAAGAACCTTCTTAATAATCACTAGGAATGAAAATTGACAGTTTGGGAATGTGATTTGGCAATACTGTAAAGTTCTAGTGGCTGAGGGTGAAGTTCAGCTGGTAGAGGGGCTGCCTAGCATGCACACACCTGAGGTCAATCCTGTGTAAACGGGGTGGGGAAGGACATACGTGGAATCCCTTGCACTCTGGAGTTGGAGGCAAGCCAATCAGACATTCACAACTACATAGAGGGGTCAAGGCCATTCTGCAATACATGAGACCCAGTCTCAAAAGAAAGAAATTAATTAGATTATATGCTCTTTGGTCCAGGAACGTCTACTTCTAAAAACTCATCTCTCAAATTTTGTTGCATTAGCTGCACAAAGATATGTGCTCAAGACTATTCATCAAAGAATTAACCGTGTCACAAAAATATAAGGACTCTTACGATGATTAGAGCTTATCACAGAGAACAGTTCAACTCAGCCTCTCCTGGGTGCAAAAAGACCCATCCATCCAACTTCTACAGAACCAATTGCTGCTGAGATTCTTTTAGTGAGATTTCACTGAATCTATAGATAAATTTGGGCAGCGCTAACAATTTAATAATAGTAATCTCCTTATCCATTATCACAAGACACATTTAAATTTATATAAGTAGTTGAAATTTCTCTCAATAATGATTTTTCATTTTTTTAGTACAAAGGTCCTGGGCGTATATTTTACAGCACCATTTGAATCGATACGCCCCGTTTTGCTACTTACCTCTTTTCCTTGGGTTACTAATTTCTGTTCGCCTTTCATTGACTTTAACGTTTCTCTAATTCTATGCCAAACACTCTCTGGCCTCAGCTGATTCTAAGATGCCACACTTCTGAACCGTAAATCGCTTCCTGAGTCCCTATAGGCTCCGATTAAATTTGTTGTAATCTTTTTGTCCCTGGCGTTTCTGCAGCTTTAGTTTGTAATTGTCTTTCTTACAAGAGGTCTTTAAGAGTGCTCCAAAGTAACTGAGTGTAAAGACTTCCTCTCCTCCCCCCCCGCCCCCCCACCCCCGCCATCCAGTTTCCTGCCATTTTCTAATTTTATTGCAGAATGACAAGGGAATTTGTTGTTTGTTACTGCTGCTTTGTGGAACTTACTGGGTTGGGTTTTGTGGCTGCTGTTTGTTTTGTTTTGGGATGGGTTATTGTATGGTCTGGTGATTTAGACGGTCTGCAATGCACTAACCAGATGCAGCCTATTCCTGTCCTTTCTTCATCTTTACGGACTTTTTACATGGTATCTGTTACAGGCAAAGAGAACTGTGACTCTTCAGGCCCTCTAATGGCTGTCTTTATTTGCTTTCACTTTCATCGGTTTGTAAATATCATTCATTCACTGCAAAGCTCTAACTTGCCCCTGTGTTTAGCATTCAGAGTGTCATGTTTCTCTGGCCTCCTGACCTTTGCTGTAAGTTCCATTTTCTCTGGTCATGGCTCCTGCTAGCTTTCTGTCTGTCCTTCCTTACGTGTTTGTCCATTCTTTTGTTTGAGACAGGTTCTTATGTAGCCCAGGCTGGTCTAGAACTTGATATGTTGCTCAGGCTGGCCTTGGACTCCTGCTCTCCCTGCCTCAGCTTCCTGAGTGCTGGGGTTGTTGGTGTGAGTTACCAAGCCTGGGTTCCCCCCTCCCCCACGTTCTTTAAACCTCTCTGTATCATTTGTGTGGAAAATGTGGGTGTATGCCCACATGTGCAGGTGCAACCCGTGTGCACATGGACATGGTGACCATAAGTCAACCCTAGATAGCATTCTTTGGGGTGTCATCCAATTTGGTTTGTGAGACAGGGTCTCTCACAGGCCTGGAACTCACTAGGCTGGCTAGCCAGTGAGCTCCAGTGTCTGCATCTCTCTGGCTCCCCAGCACTGGGAGGGCTTGTGCTGCCACATCTAACTTTTTGCATACTTGCATTTCAAGCCTTTATGTTACATGATGAGTGCCTAGAAATCTTTCACTGTAATTTAATTTTGCCTTCCTCCATTAAAAAAAAAATAGAAACGTTCGAGAGTTGATAGAACATTTGAAATACTGCGTGTTTAAAAAAATTTTTTTCTTATGCCAAAATGGATTGGGCTGCCATGTTTTTCAAATTTGACTTTTAGAGATGGGTCATGACTCTGGGTGTGAGCTGGCACACGTATCTTCTTTCTCCTGAGAATTATATCCTAGGGTTCTCTTAACCTGTGGCCTGCAACCTCTCTGGGTTCATGTGACCCTTTCCCAGGGTCACCTAAAACAGTCTGGAAACACAAATATTTGCATTGTGATTCATAACAATAGAAAAATTACAGTTATGAAGTAGCAACAAAAATAATTTTAAGGTCATGATGTCACCACCACATTAGGAGCTGCATTAAATGGTCACAGCATTAGGAAGATTGAGAACCACTGCTCTGGGAGGTAGTGAGAAGGTCTAGCAGTCATGAGCACTTGCTCCTCCTACAGTGAACCTGGGTTCCCAGCACCCATTTCAGGCAGCTCACAACCATCTGTCAATTCAACTTCGTGAGATCCTATGCCCTCTGCTGGCCTGTGAGGGTACTGCACTAGGGTGTGCAGAGGCTCAGATCCACATAAATCTTAAACAGTTATTATCATCTGGTGAAACAAAAATTCTTAGTTTTAGTATACCAAAGTATACCTATTCTTTTCTCCTGGTTAGTGTTTCTTATATCATATGCAATAAGTCTTTTTTTCTACTCTGAGACATAAAGACATTCCTCTGGTTTTGGTCTCCTCACTCCTTTGTCATTTCACAAAGACATGGAGAGCTGACTATGGTGTATGGTGCTGAGGTCCTTACTTGGTTTGATTGTTCCTCTAGGTCTCCTGATTTCTCACCATCCTTCGCCACAGACTGATCCTTCCTGTTCTGTGGAGTGACCAATCACAGGTTGAACGTCTGTACACACACACTGCTGCTCTGTTTAGAGTCTGGCTAACCTCCCAGCAATGGCTCTATAGTCAGTTTGGCTCCTTGTATTCCTTCCTCAAAAGTGTCTTGGCTATAATTTACTCTTTGTATTTCCACACACATTTTAGAATCCGTGTGCCAAATAATACCATAAATGCTTATTAAGACTGCATTGGAAATCTCACTAAATAGATTAGTCATCAATATTGAGACTTGGAGTCTAACAACATGACATTAGCTCCCTATTTTTGGGGGTTGTTTCTGTAATTTACTCAATGTTTTGATATCCTTTTTTTCCCCCTAGGAGCTTGATATTTTGAAATGCCAGTGTAGATGATACTTCAAAACTTATTTTATTTCCAGCTTGTAGCTGCTACAAACATACATAGCTGATTAATGTATATTAATTCACACAGCTATCTAGATGTACAGTCTTATTAATTCCAGTAGATTTTAAAGACCTAGTTTTGTAATTTTGTGTGTGTGTCTGGTATGTGTGTTCACATGCACGTGAGTGTGGGTGCCCATGAAGGCCAGAAGAGGGTGTTGGATCCACAGGAGTTGGCCTGTGTGGGTAGCTGCACTCACATGCATGTGAGTGCACACACAGACAGTTGCCAGTTGCCCAGTGTGAGTGTCTGGAGTGAACTCCAGGCCTGTGAGAGAGGCTCTGTTGAGCCAGCTCTGATGCTAACAGTTTCTCTCTAGGTTATGTTGGATAGTTTATGTGTGTTACATAATTTTCTGTAAGGTACAACATGTCTGGTAATTTTCTTCCCCATGTACTTTTTTTTAATGTTTGCCTTATGACCCTGACTAGAACCTCCTCTGGTCTGGCTGGACTGACAAGAATGGACACCTGTGATATTTGTTTTCTCCCTTTGGTCTCAAAGTGAGAGAGTTCCACACTCATGATTATGTTTGATAAATGAATGCCCTTGAGGGGGAACACTACTTTTTGAAGAATTAATACTTTTTATCAGAGTGGGACCATTTCTTTCTGTTCCAACTCTTCTAAGTGTTTTGAAATCATAAATGGAAATTGAACTTTATCAAATGGAGTTTCCAGTATCAGTTAAAATAGCTACACAATTTTCCCTCCCTTTGCTATATTAACAGAGATGAAGCTTCTTTCCCATTGTGGCATGTGTTGCTTTTAGAATTAGCAAGAGCGAATGGTGGGAAGAGAGAAAGCTTTTCAGAGACTCTGTTGTTATACCTGAAGGCTCAAGCAAGGGCAGGGACATCTCTCCCAGCTGTGGTGTCACATCTGTTTTTAGGAAAATTCTTCTGCTCCCAAACAAAAAAGATTTAGTTTGCCAACCAGAGACACGAGAACCCTAGAAATGTTACAGTCCTTCTGAAGCCACTGGTCACAGTTTCTTCTTTGTTTGCTCCTGTCCCTTCAAGAGCAGACCTTCCCAGAACCTGATCCGTGTGTGTGTGTGTGTGTGTGTGTGTGTGTGTGTGTGTGTGTGTGTAGGAGGAGGAGGACTCACCTGCCCAGGGCATTAGTGTCTAATGAAATCAGACCCTCTAGGCATCAGAATTTTAAAAGATCTTCTTAAAGTTCCGAAGTGGAGTCAAGGTAGATAACCACTAATCTACACTGTCTTGAAGTTTAAAATCATGTATGTACTTGGGGAAAAGGTACACAGAAACCTAACCACTGCAAAGTCAAAGAGGCAACGGAACTCTCAGACTTGTCCAAATGAAAGCTGGCACGATATACAGAAAAAAGAGGAAAAGGCTTCCCAGGGAGAAGGCACAGGAACGATGGCGATGCTACTCACTCGACTTTCTCTGGAAGATCAGTTCGGGTCATGCACACACAGTTGACCAAAATAGTGACAGTGATAAATATGGAGAACCAGCTGTAGGTCCATGTTAAGGAAGTGAGAGAGAGTTATCATCATCCCCCAGTCTCAGATCACCTTGCTGCTGAAGGAGATGTTGGCGACTCAGCTAATCCCGGCTTTGTGGCCTTGTCATGAGGTTGCTGCTCACCTTTGTCGAGCACCTAGCCCATGCTGAGAACTCTGTCTTTATAATTAGTAGATGAAGTTGAGTGTGCTGGATATTAAACCCCAGGCCTCACACTAGGCAAAGACTTTACCACTGTGCCAAATCCCCAAACCTCGTCCAAATTATGCCAAAAGCCATTAACCCACCGGTCGCTTTTATCATTTACATTTAAGATCTTGGCTAACAGCATGATGAGTCTTAAATAGCCTTCCTGAATTGTGTTGCATCGTGCAGCCTGGTAACCATAGTAACCAGGTGGAGGGTATTATTTTTTATGAAAATCAGTTTAGTTAGATTGTTTTCCTAAGCTGAAATCAACCACATTGAAGCAATGGATTCTGGGTAGGGATGGCCAAAGCAGGCTCAGGAAGTGAAATCCTGGCTCTGGAAGGATAATCCAAGGAGAATGGGGTGTCATTAGCCAGAGAGAGACTCTTAGGGGTGAAGGTTTGGCTAAGGGATACTTGGAAGGGGGAGGCTTTGAAGGGAAGGAAGGAGCACAGGAGTGAACAAATAGAGGCAGGGTGAGTCTAAGCAGACCTTTCTCAGGCTCAGCATGAGCTCCTACAGTCCCTGGTAAAGGAAAAACCCCTAACCTAGACAGAAGCTTCACCTACAGGGGAAGGATGGCACTACCCCTCATCACTTCGACTCAAGCAGAAACATTTAAAACCATTTTTAGTTTTCTGTAGATACCTTTTTGGTTTTTGTTTTACAGTTACTCAGGAAAACATCTATCTGAACAGGGAAATCACATTTCCCCATTAATTTACAGTTAAGAGATATGCTCACATAGCGGGGAAACTTAACCCAAGGATGAAAATTAAAACTGTATCTTTAGCTCTGCAAACAAGTTGTATGATATCCTGTGTCTATGAAGACGTTCACAGGAATTCGACTGGAGTTACAACTTTGAAGGAAATATGATTATTGGAGTGCAGATTCTATACCTTGAAGAATCTTGTTTGGCACCGTAGCGACCAAACTGATAAGTCTATCTGAACATGCTTGGTGAGGAGGAGACCCCTCTATGGACTTACTGTCCCACTGCCTCTCCCCCGAGCAGTTAACTACTCACTGAATCTCAAGGCAGGAGGACTAGTCCTTGTTCACCTTGTTGCTGACAGAAACTGTACTTCTAATTAGCTGTTGTTTACTGATCTCCATATAATTCAGCTGAGATCCACGAAAGACACTGTGGACTGGGTCATTGTATACTTCTTCTTTTAAAGCATAAAAAGAAGTTTTGGTAAGCAGTGTCTTTTTTTTTAATTTTTATTCTTTTTTCATATATTGAATCCCAACAGCAGTTTTCTCTCCCTCACTCTGCACCCAAGTATCTCTCCCTCCCTTTCTCTTCCCCAGATTCGTCATCAGCACCCCTCAGAAAATAGCAGGCCTCCCAGAGACATTGATCAAACACAGCCTAACAAGCTACAGGAGCATACGATCGTATCAAGGCTGGACGAAGCAGCCCAGTAGGAGGAGAATTCTTAAGGAACTGGATGGAGAAAATATGTAGCATCTTGAATCTCAGTGACATTATTTTTTTTAATATATTGTTAAAACAAAAACTCATGCTTTGTTTTATGCAGAACAATATAATTTATATAGCAAATAGAGTACAATAGACTGACTTGGCATCGTTTTAAACAGAAGAAAATCTGCAAAGAATTCAGGCTACCTGACCCTTTGCCTGTGAACGACTTTCTAAAAATTGCCCAAAGCAACAGATGTTCCCAGTGATGGGTCACATCGGATCCCGGTGCACCAAAGAATGAAGGAATTTAAAAGAAAACTCAGCCTTCCCACTCGTGCCTCAAAGGAGGGACATGCTGGAGTCTTTGTGATGCAAAACTGGGTCTTGCTGCTTCAATGTCCAGAAGTTGAATAATTCAAATGTATTTTCAGAAAAGCAACATTTTGCCTGAGTAGAGATAGCCCGCTGAGAGAATTACTACCTTAATCTGTGTCTGTTCACTTGCTGTCTACATCCTGGCTGAAGACACTGCCTGTGACATGCTGGAGGCTGGACCTCTTAACTAGCTGTGTGACCTTGGCGTTTCTGAAATGCCTCTGAGTGTTGGGCTCATTATCGGTAGAATGAGGTACTGCTAATCCTTTCCAAGGCTCTTGTACCTGTGACAGTGTTGACACTTGGAAAGTGCTTAGCCACCGGGGGGCCTGCGATTATCATGAAGTATTCTGAAGAATCTAAAAAACCCAAGATTCAATTCAGAAAATAGAATTCCTATTGAGTAGCCATAGAGATAACCACAGCAAGTGAAAACGGGCTGTACGTCATCAGCAGGGTAGTTACGCAGTGAGTGTGTGGAAGGTTCTGGGCCAGGCTTCTTAGCTCAGCTACCACTGGGCAATTTGCTAGACTGTTCCACAGTGGTTGGGGTTGTCTAAGGAAAGAGTGAATCCCTTTCCACTAACCCACACTCGGGTACAGAGGCTGGCTACTATCTGTCCTGCAATAGAGCAAGGCCGTTCTCAACATGAACTTCCCAGAAGCCGGAGCTGCGCTTGATGCTGAGAATTCTCACTTTGAAAGATGCCTGAAAGCCCAGCCCAAGTCCTCCTTTTAGCTACTTTGGCTTGGGTCGAATAAAACACAAAACAAAAACAGCACCGAAGGTGACTTCTCATCCTCCCTAAAGGAGCCAAGGTAACACAGAGCAGGGATTGCTATGTCTGTCCTTGGGGCAGGAACCTCAGGCAAACTGTATATTTAGCCTGCTGATAGTTTGAGGGTAGCTCATGATATTGCCGGTGCCCACGATTAGTAAGGTTCCCATGGCAGATGATGGGGGCTCTGACTGTAATAGAATGTTCTCTTTGCTGTCTAGGAGGCATTTCTCTGTTGTGTAATGAGCAACCACCCCCAGCATGGTCTAGGATAGTGTGACAACTCATGCCTGCGCATTTGACCAAAGAGCCTTGGTGTCTTCTTACCAATCATTACCTCATGAGGAAAGCAGGCAATGCTTGGTGGTATGGCTATGCCTAGGGCAACAGTAAAACTCACACCATAAAGAGGACATTTGAGTGTGGTATATAAACTACATTTTCAATGTGATGACGTCGCTGTCTCAAGATTCAACTGGAGAAAGGCTCTGCTGCTAACCTCTAAGAAAGGCGCCAGACACCACAGGCAGAGCCTGAGTCTGAAGCATGGAAAGCAAACTGCAAAGGATACGAGTGGACAGACACTTTGATGGCTGTCCTCCTGATCAGGTTGAAGGGACTGAAGAGCCACAGGGCCCAAGTGGCACTGAATCTGGAAATGGTCCTGCTTTTATCCAACACCATGAACGTCTAGAACAAAGCAAAGCACAAGAGGGTTCCCTGAGAAACAAGAATCCGGAGTGGCTTCCTCGTGGGATTATGAGCAAGACTGTTGGAAGAACCATGGCTCAGTGACCATCTAGAAGAGGGGCAGAGTGAGAGGGTGGGCAGAGAGAGCAGAGGCCACATCCTCACCCTCTCCACAGGAATCTGGACTCTGTGAACCAAGGCAAGCCCACTGAGAGTGTTTCACCAATAGGCTGCTGACCCAAGGGCTGGATACATGCAGCACACCCAGGGCAGGATTCTGACAACAGATGGTTGAGCTCAGTTACATTTAATCCAACATGTGTGCATGCGTGTATGTGTGCGTGTTGATGGGGAAATTCAAAGGTCATTCCTCAGGAGTTTTCTACAAACGCTCACTGGCCTGAAGCCAACTGAGAAGGCTGGGCTGGCCAGACAGTGAGTCCACTTGCCTCTGCCTCCTCCTCCTCCTCCTCCTCTTCCTCCTCCTCTTCCTCCTCCTCCTCTTCCTCCTCATTCTCCTCCTCTTCCTCTTCCTCCCCTTCCTCCTCTTTCTCCTTCTCCTCCCCTCCCCCTCTCCCTCCTCTTTCTCCTCAGGAGTGACATTACAAGTGTGTTCCACTTTTTTCTCCCTTGTTTTCTAGGGATCAAACTCAGATTTCCATGCTTGTTCAGCAAGCTCTTTACTGACTAAACCATCGCCCAGGCCCCAGAATTTAATTCCCTTCTGACTAGAGGACCCTGGTCCTGTGATGTTCCTACTTTCTACTACCTGGATCTTGGCTCTAACCCATCCCTGTTCCCTTCTCTGGGCATTTAGGAGGGATGGGTTCTTGAGAAGAGAGAGGAGGGAAAAGACATCCTATGTGTCTCATCTCTTCTACAAACTACATTTGCAATGGCTTGTTCCAGTTCTTTGTCTTTTACAGGCATGTTCTTACCATGTTTTGGCTGCATAGAAAATCTAAGGTGCAGCACAGGAGAGGAAGTTGTCATGAGCACCTCATTAGACTATTAGCTTTCAATCTTTTGATTAAAAAATCATTAAATACTCTAATTTATTATATTTATACTTCTCTTGCTTTGTTCATGTGTGTTTGTATATATATGATAGAAATTTATATATGTATATCTACGCAACTCGTCTATCATCTGTCTATCTATCTATCTATCTATCTATCTATCTATCTATCTATCTATTATCTATCTATTATCTATCTATCTATTATCTATCTATCTATCTATCTATCTATCTATCTATCTACCTATCTACCTATCTATCTATCTACCTATCTGCAGTAGTTTGAATATGCTTGATCCAGGGAATAGCACTATTAGGAGGTCTGACCTTGTTGGAGTGAGTGTGGCCTTGTTGGAGGAAGTTTGTCACTGTGGGGTGTGCTTTTAGACCCTCCTTCTAGCTGTTTGGAAGCCAGTCTTCTCCTGTTGGCCCTTGAAACAACACATAGAACTCTCAGCTCCTCCAACATCATGCCTGCCTGGACACTGCCATGATGGGCTGAACCTCAGAACCTGTAAGCCAGATCTAAATAAATGTCGTCCTTTATAAGAGTTGCCATGGTCATGGTGTCTCTTCATAGCAATGGAACCCTAACTAAGATGGGGGAATTGTCTTGATCATGGTAATGAAGGTGGGAAGACCCAATCACTTTGCATGGCACTATCCCAGGGCAGAAGATCCTGTCCGTGTAAGAGGAGAGAAAGAACTCCGAGCCATGGATGCTGCATGCATCGTCCTCAGACTACAGACATGGTATAGCCTGCTCCCTCACACTCCCGTTCCCATGTCTTTGCTACCTTGATGGCGTGCAGCCCAAAACTATGAGCTCATAAATCCTTTCTCCCTTAACTTGCTTATGGCCAAGTATGTTATCACAGCAACATGGAAGGAAAATAGGGCACATACTATATATATTAGAAATATCATATATATATATATATATAGCTTTAAAACCCAGGAGCACATAGGCACATCTTCCTGTGGCTGCTGTGAATGATGCTGTTCCCTTGGTTACCATTATATGCTTACAAGATGATGTAAGTAAGATAGTAAACTATCATTTCAAGACAGTTTGACTTCAGTAACCCATGGGAGAGTTTAGAAAACTCCAGGGGCTCTGAGACTATACTTTAGAGAACCCTGGCTTAAGGCGTCCCTCTCAACTTCAAAATCTGTGCTCTTGATCTGCAAAGAGAGATAACATCTCTAGTGGCTCTAGGCTGGGTCTCATTCATGGGAACAGCCAACTTTCCAAGCAAGTTGTGCAGCAGCTGTGTGCTTTGGGGATTTGGGTTTAGTTTGCCCTATCACAGAGTTGCTAAAGATTCAGAGCGAGGTACATTTCACCTTGCTTTAAGTCACTCTATTCTTTAGTGAACAGCTAGTACATGGGATGGGGGTGAGGACTTCCTGGGTTAGGTGGGACTGAGGCTTGCTCCCCAAGAGCTGAGTGCAGATGTTCCCAGTGGCAGGTCTTACCCTGTGTGTGCTGTAGAAAGGATCCAGGTCCTCCAGAGGCTCCCCGACCAGTTCTGCTGGGAGCTCACCATAGAACCTGGGCAGCTGGTTACAGGCTTTCAAGTCCAGCTGAGGCCTGGGCTTCTCACCCTTGTCCTTCTGTCCTTTGTGCTTAGCTCTGGTCTTCTTGGCTGCGCGGTGGGCAGCGATCTGCTTCTCGATCTCTGCCAGTGACTCTGGAGTGAACCGTCTGAAGTTGTTAGTTCCCACGGACCCAAAGGGGAACTCCATCTTCTCATTCTTCTTGGGGAAGAATTTACACTCTTCTGGGAGGAAAATAACCAGAGAAAGGTGAGAGCTTCTCCACTGGAACCCTCCTGTCTATCACCCCTACTTTATTGACAGAACAGCTCCCTGTCTTTGTCTCCAGTTCAATACACATCCCCCCTCCCACATTCCATCCTCTGCAGGCCCTCTGCAAATCCAGGTACCACAGGCATGTGTCTTTGCTCCATATCCCCGAAGCCATTGCTTTCTCCTCACTTTGTAAGAAGCCTCATCTCATTCCCCACAAACTAGCTTTATAAATTTGGACATCTTTCCCTCATTGTTGTGAGAAATATTATAAGAGTATGTCTTGTTTTAATCCCAGGTGTGAGGACATGAAGCTGCTTCAGATTGTCCACAGCAGCTGACTATGATTTGTCTCTTACTCCAGCAGGGGCATGATTTTGTCAGCTGCAGATAGTTTCTGTAAGTGTGTGGCCTTTGGAATTCTGGGGACTTTTCAGAGGCTATAAATTCTAGAGTCCCTATGAGTAGGTTGTTGGCTGTTGGTTGCTGTTGGTTGTGGTTTGCTAAGTAGTCATGTGCAAAGAAGAAAGAAAAAGAGAAAGAAGAAGAGGAAGGAGGGGGAGGATGAGAAGGAGAAGGAGAAGAAGAGGAGGAGGAGGAAGAGAAAGAGGAGGAGGAGAAGAAGGAGAAGGAGAAGGAGAAGGAGAAGGAGAAGGAGAAGAACCAGAACCAGAACCAGAACAAGAACCAGAACAAGATGAACAAGAAGAAGAAAATTAGATATCCTGACAGCAAAAATCAAACTTGTCCCAAGGAACTGGGCACTCCTAATCAGTAGGAAGTAATCTGACGATAACATCGTTCCCTTTCCCCTCTATCATATTTTCTCTCCTGTCTAGAGTTGGGGGTTGAAAGGGTGGAAAGAGGTGGAGAAGAGTGGGAGAAAAAAGAACCTACAAAGCAGCCAAAGGCCAGCTAAACCTCATGTCTGGGGTCACCCCGCTACAGCCTCCCCCGGGCCTCACCGAAGACTTTGGCTCCTGATCTCCATCTTAAGTTTCCCCCCTACCTTCTAGTCTCTTATCTACTGCTATTTTTTTTCTGTATTTTTTCCTTTCTTTGAACTGCCAGTGGATCCCACTGTCCACAGCAGGAGAGTTTTCTTCACAACCACATTAGACTGGATTTCCTCCACTTAAATCTGGAGCCCAGTTCCATCTAGAGCAGTTGGATTCAGTTTTCTCTGAACCTAGGATGCTCTAGGTTGGAGCTGCCAAGAGGAGATGATCTGTGCAGGCTGCGATTCCCTAATTAGCAGTTTCTTCTAGTCTGAGATTTCAGTGATTAACTCTTTGCTGACTAGTCCCTGTCTCTTCATGGAGACAGCCAAAGGCCATGTTTTCTAGTTGATGAAGAAAACCACATCAAAACTCTGACTCACCTGTGTTCACAACCTATGTCACCCCTCCTCCCTGCCAGGGTCAGTTCTTAGATCTCTCCTTTAGCTTTTATACCCACTCTATCCTGTCCCTGATTCTTTTCCTAGCTCCTACCTATCAGCAGTTAGAAATGTTTAACTCTTTCTGTTTGCTTGTTTTTAACTTTAACAATATTTGTTTGGTGAGCCAGTTCAGTGGATAAAGGTGCCCACTGTACAGGCCTGGTGACCTAAGTTCTATCCCTGAAACCCATGTAAGAGCTGAAGGAGAGAAATGACCCCAGAAATCCATCCTCTCATCCTCAGACATACGACATAGCATGCATTCTCACATACATACATTGTGAAAACATGTGCAGACACATGCAAATTAAATTACTAATTTTGAAACACTTGCTTGGGGCTGGGGAAATAACTCAGTGGCTGAAGGCACTCATTGTGCAAGTACGGAGGCCAGAATTTCATTCCTGAAATCCACATAGAGGTGGAAGAAGAGAATAGACTCCACATAGTTGTCCTCTGACCTCTACACATGTGTATGTGCATGTGAGTGCATGCAGACACATACAAATATTAAGTAAACATTATGTCAATGATTGCTTGATGCACAGTCCGTGCTGACCCTGCCTCTGCTCCAAGCTCATTGTCTGCTGAGTTTCACAGAGGACTTGTTCCCCGTGACGGTCTCCAACCATTCTGACATCCATGCAGCATGACCTTTGCCCTCACCTCACTGAAATGGATGCTCCAAGGATACCAGAGACCTTTTGGTGGCTAAGTCAGGGACTGTTCTTGTTGCCTTCTTGATAGTCTTATTGTCTGTCTTAACCACCTGCCTCTTGAAATGCTCTCCTCTTTTCCTGGTTGTTTGAAATGCTCTCTTTTCCTGGTTGTTGCAATACCTCTTGGGTTCTCTCCCTGGATGTCCGCTCCTTCTCCATCCATACTTCTTCAGCTTTTCCTGAAAATTGCTATTAGTCTTGGGGTTCTCCTTTATGCTGCGGTATTTTGAAGAGTAACCGCATCTGCATCACTGGTAATGGCTGACATTTATGGAGACCCCATTATGTTTCAGAGTGTGGGTTAAGCAATTTGAACACATTATCATAAAGCCATCAGTGATCCCTTTTGGGTATTCGCTTCAATGTACAAATGTAAAAACAGAGAGGCAATGTCAGACTTTCCAATATGGCATTGCTAATAAGTGTCAGGACTAGGATCCAGGGAGCACTTGGATCTGGTTTCCAGGGAGTAGCTCATCCCTTTCTCCAGGTCAAGTCTCATTTCTCTATAGTGGATTCACTGAATCTTTGCCCTAGGTCTCACTTCTGTAGGGCCCAGGACCTCATCTGGCATCTCTTCAAGAGGGTCTGATGGGCACCTTAAACTTAGCCTGCCTCCAACTGAGCCCATGATCATCTGCCACTCCTCTGATCTTTGACCATCTTCTATGACTACCTGGCTCTATGAATGGCCCCCAATTGCCTATTCCCATGCGTGTCCACAACTGGGCCCTTTCTGTCTCATTCACAACTACAACTGCATATGGCCTCCTTTCTGTGCCTTCTCCCTAATGCTGTAGGCACCAGCCATAGCCTAGGTAGCCTCATCTTGAAGTTCACTTGTTGCTTTTTCAAGTCTGTGTCCTGTGTCTGCAGTAGTCTGCCTCTTGATAGTCCTCTGTCAGCCCTAACTCTTCACTGTGACACACACTCCTTGTCCCCATACAATGTAAACAAGCTGAACATTCTGAGACTTGCTCCTGGTGGCCATGTGGGGCGCTTCTGCATTTGGACTGAAAGTGCTTTCCGGAAGTTGGATGAGCTGTATGGCACTTGGGAAGCCAATAAATTCTCAGTTCACAAGATGCCCACACAATAATTTCTAAGCCAATTGATTATGATACAAGCTGCCCACCTAGATTAGATAAGTTATCCCAATTATCCTATCCTTTATGATATTTATAGCTACCTGTGGCTATTTAAATCCACCCTTGAATACATTGGCACAGGAAACAACTTCTTGAACAGAATAGCAGTATCGTAGGCACTAAGATCAACATTTAGTAAATGATACCTCATGAAATTGAAAAGCTTCTGTAAGGCAAAGAACACTGTCAATAGGACAAAATGGCAGCCTATAGATCAGGAAAAGATCTTCACCAACTCCAGGTCTGATAAAAGGCTGATATCCAAAATACATAAAGAACTCAAGAAACTAGACATCAATGAACCAAGCAATCTAATCTTAAAATGGGGTACATATCTAAACAGAATTCACCATAGAGGAATCTCAAATGACTAAGAAAAACTCAAAGATATGTTCAACATCCTTAGCCACCAGGGAAATGCAAATCAAAACAACTCTGAGATTCCATCTTACATCCATTAGAATGGCTAAGACCAAGTGACAGCTCATGCTGGCAAGGATGTGAAACCAGGGGAACACTCCTCTGTTGTGGGCAGGAGTGCAAACTTGTACAGCCACTATGTAAATCAATATGGCAGTTTCTCAGAAAATTGATATAACTCAAGACATAGCTATATCACTGTTGGGCATATACCCAAAGGACACATTATCCTATCACAAGGATACTTGCTCAACTATGTTCATAGCAGCTTTATTCATAATAGCCATAAACTGGAAACAAACTAGATGTCCCTCAACTGAACAATGGACAAAGAAAATGCAATACATTTACACAACGGAGTATAACTCAGCTGTTAAAAACAAGGACATCATGAAATTTGCCAGCAAGTGTACGAAACTAGGAAAAATCATCCAGAGCTTGGCAACCCAGACCCAGAAGGACAAACATGAAACATACTCACTAATGAGTGCATATTAGGTATTAAATGAAAGATACACTACAATCTGCAGACCCGAGAGGCTAATTAACAAGGAGGGCTCTAGAGGGGGAACACATGGACTTCCCTGGAAAGGGAAAATAGAGTAGATTTTGTGGGTAGACTCTGGGCAGGTAGGCATGGGAACAGGAGGGACTATGTGGGTGAAGAAGGGATGGGGTATGGGGGAGAGCACAAGGAGAGACAATTGGCATGGGGGGCATTTATAGGACAATGTGGAAACCTAGAGTTGTGGAAACTTCCTGGAACATATAAGGGTAACCTACCAAGGAGTCCTAGTAATACAATACAGAGCCTGAAGTGGCCATCGTCTGTAACTAGCCAAGGTTCCCAGAGGTGGGACTGGAACATCGACCCAGCCACAAAACTTTGACACACACCTGTCTTGCCTGCAAGATATGCTGGGGCAATGGTAGCTCAGAACTTGTAGGTGTGACCTACCAATGACTGGTGTAACCTGAGGCCCAAGCCACGAGAGGGAGCCTATGCCTAACACTGCCTGGATGGCCAGGAACTGGAAACCGGATGGCTCAGAGACTTAGGGTAGAACCAAACACAGCTGACGGGAAAAAAAAGTCAATGGAATGATTTCTAATGATATTGTGCTATATTCAGATTCGTACCTAGGCCAGCTGTCATCAGAGAAGCTTCCTCCAGCAACTGATGGGAGCAGAGGCAGAGACCCACATCCA